ATATAAAAGCACAACTATTAAATATAAAAGCTATTTTTATTTCACCACCAATATTTGGATCATAAAGCAGATTGTCTGAAAATTTTAGGATCATAAATTTGTTGTAAAAAACATTTAAAATACTTCTCTTAGTTTGACTCTTGATGAAGTGGAAACTGTGATTTTTGCCAGCTGACTTCTTTTCAGTTGCTGAACCCAGACTTCAGAACCAGTTTCCTCAAGGTTTACTCTCCATCGCTGACTTGAACCATTTTAGTTTGTAGTTGTCGAACACAGAAACACGGTACTTGCTTTGCGAGGCTGCTGTTTTTCACCAGTGGTCCTGATGTTGGGAAAATCGACGTGATTTGTGATGACACGAGTCTCTACAAGCTCCCCCGCCGTCAACAAGCTTAAGTTCAGCACCTTGGACAGAGCTATGCTGATGCTGTCAGTGAGTTCAACAGTTTGATAAATGACCAGGCAACTCTTCTGCATCTGCTCAGCATCCTCCTGCAGCGTGTGTGTTGTTTCACACAATGCACTGTGTTAATGTTTATTTCCTAATAATGAACCTCACATAACCAAAAGCTACTGGTTTTATAAGGGGCGTGGTCACAAAAAAGTCAACTCAGCTTTTTAAAAACATAAAAAACAAATAAATCAGGTGCCCTCAAAACTTATCAATAACAGCATTTTTTTCACTTATTCTGAAGTTTTAAGCTATAAGCTTCAAACAGAATATTGTGTTGAACTTTTAGAGTTGTAACCTACAGATGACCTATTAAAGTGCAGCAAAAATTTCAAAGACTTTATAAGAAACTTTGTAAACGTTCTTAAGTGTCTGTTAAAGTCTGGACCTGAATTTAAATGGACATCTCTCAAGGAACCAGATCGTTGGATGTGCAGAGATGCTGAAAATTTAATCTGTAGGTTTTTCTGACAAGATATGTTAGAAACTTAAAAAAAGAAGAACCGAGGATCTGAGTTTCTCTAAAAAAAAGGAACTTGATCGTGTTGATTTGACTTGATCAATATGAAGATTAATCAAAACCCCTCAGAGCCAAGTGCATTTTTTGCATTTTGTTGAGTGACTTAAAGATATTTTCAATGTTGTTTATACAAGATGTTGTGCAGAAAGACCTTTAACTGCAAAGTGCCACGTTTCCAATTCTGTGACTCAGTGTAGTACAGAGAATGAGCCATGAGAGTCCTTTTATTGACCCTCCTTGAGGACATAAAGGCTTTTAATGTTTAAGAGCTTGAGAAAATAAGGACAATGCACTCAATGCTTTCAAGTATACATTTACTTTGTATTAACAATAACACATGTTATTCTGCAAAGGTAATACCCATTATTTTTTATACTTTCTGACACTTACAGGCTGTGGCTGGACCCATTGGACCTAAAGGAGAACGGGTGAGTCATGGCTGGCGTCAGTGTAACAGTAGCTAATACTGTTCGCAAGCTGATACTTTCACAATAAAGCAGATCAGCTGCTCACTGGAGCTAATAGGGCTTATCTGATCCTGCCTGATGCAGGGTCCGCCTGGTGTAACACTGCCGGGTATAGCTGGAGAACGAGGCGTCCCTGGAGAAAGGGTAAGCTTGATCAGTCAGTGGAACGCAGAAAACATGAGACAAACAAAACAGGCAAACTGTTTTTCATATAAAACTGTACGACTTCTGTCATTCAGGGTGATAAAGGGGATAGAGGGTCAGCTGGCATCAAAGGAGACAGAGTGAGTGTTGTCACTGTGTTCAACACAAACTGTAAACATCATGTTTRCAGAACATTACAGTCACTGTGTGTTTTCATGTCAGGGAGTGGCTGGTGAACCTGGAGAGCGTGGAGAGGAAGTAAGTGATCAGTGTTTACTGTTGGTTTCATTATGTCAGTTTTTAGAAAGAAGTTTTATAAATGAATAAAGCAAACACCAYGAAATAATTGACGACTTTGTCAACATTAGAAAATAAAATGGAAATAAGTTTTCTTATTTCCCAAAAGAAAGTTAAATTGTTGCAGTATAAATTATTAAGGAAGCTTAAAGAAGTAGAAGTTAAAAACAATAAAAAAAATGTTGAAAATTTGTTGTAAAGTTGTGGGTTTATTAGAGTCAGGCATACTTTCAAATCTCTTGGAGTCAGACTGTTTCTAACTCTTAGCTTTTCAACATTGATTTAATAAAATATATATTTGAATTCTGATATTTAACTCAGAACAAAAGTCAAAATACAGTTAATTTTATTTTATTCGAAAGTCCACCAAACATTTTTATAATTTTGGCAAATCTGCCACCTGCTTCTTTATAGGTGAACTTTGATTGCATTATGTTTTAACTATCCAAGTTTTTTCTAAAATTTTAATTAATTAACCTTATTTCTTTATTAATGCACATAAAACATTATTTTGAGATTGTTTATGATTCGTGTTTTTGCACGTTTTTGTCATTGTAAAAATTGTTCAACAAATTTAAAACCAGAACTTGATTTTAACACTAACCTTTATTTTTATTTTTTTTTTCAGGGTCAACAAGGATCTGCAGGGCCTAAAGGAGATAAGGTGAACCTGTCATGAGTTTGAMCAAAATGTTTGAATTAAAAAAACATTTAATTTTGACATTAAGGACAAAATGTATGTTTTAGGGAGAGAAAGGCATTGGACCAGCAGGTCCGCCTGGTCGTGTCGGACCTCCAGGTCTGAAGGTGAGTAACGGCACGTGTTGCAGTTGCAGCAGTGGATTATCAGTGGATTTTATCTGTGTGGTCTGATACTGTGGCTTATCAGATGCAGCTCAGGATTAATTCTCTGACTTTATTTTCAGGGAGATCCAGGTCTTCCTGGCTCAGCTGGTCCTCCAGGACCACAGGGAAAGTCAGGAGACCCCGGCCTGGCTGGTGTGAGAGGAGAGAATGGACAACCAGGACCTCCTGGACCTCCAGGGGCGACAGTCAGTGGAGCTGTTGATTTAAAAAAAACACATGCTTTGTCTCTCTATGCAACCCCACTGCTAAGACATGTTCCTGTTGTGATTCTGWTTTCAGGGTATCCAAGGATTTGCAGGCCGGGCAGGAAACGCTGGAGCTCCTGGTCCTCCTGGACCTCCTGGACAGGCTGTGAGTTCTTCTTCTTGTTACATAATAATGTTGTTAGCATTTCGGAAGAGCTTCTTTATTAAACTTTAATGTTTACTGTGCTGTAGTTTTGCTGATTCATTAGACACATTTTCAGATTTTTTTTTTTTTTTTTTTGGAATCTAAATAATAAAAAGCAAGACGTTATGAGCAGACTACCAGATTTATCTTCTGCATCTGTTTTCCAGGGCTCTCCTGGTACAAACGGAGTCAAAGGGGACAAGGTATCTCTCCAGACTGACAAGAACATTATTCCTGCCGAGCTGCATAAATATTAATATGTCTTTTTTTAAGAGTGTATATATTATTTTTAATGCCAGGGGGAGGTTGGTGTTGGTGTCCCTGGTTCCAGAGGAGAGAGAGGAGATCCAGGGCCCAGAGTAAGAAACTGGTTACATAATCATAACATAGAGCCAGCACTCTAGAGTCAATTTACCTTTGGATGATAGAAGCTAACACCGGCGTATTTGCACACGTTCTCTCAGGGCGAAGACGGCCGAGCTGGTTTGGATGGGGAGCGAGGAACAACAGTAAATATCAAAACTTCTTTTTTTACGCAGACCTACAGAGCTGTTCATTCAGAGCTTCTCTTTCATGTTTCTTTCTTTTCTTTAAAAAAACATAAAATGGTTGTTTTGGGGGACATGAAGGCACACATCTTACATTTTAGAGCCTTTCTTACAAGGTCACAATGGGTTTTCTATAGACCATAAACTTATCCTTCATGTTGCGTTTCACTTTGTCCATTAATGCAAGATCAAAGAGTTCAAGCCTGATTTACCAAAACCCCTTCCACAGTCATAATGCTCCATCCATACATTTTCTTTATCCGCTTCTCTTTATCAAGTCATGGGGAGCTGGTGCCTATCTCCGGCAGTCACTGGCTGTGTCTCAATTCAGGGGCTGGGTCCTCATGAGTGCGCATTTGTCGGCCGCATACGTCATTGCCCCGCGCTGAGGACAGTCCCAATTCGAAGGCTCCTCATCATGCGGCCGAGGAATGCGTCCTACTTCCTGTCAAAATCCGAGGAAGCATCCATGTATCCTTACCAGCCGAGGATATCCCAGGATTCAATGCGCGGGCAGCAAAATAAACTGAGAGATGAAGACGGTGTTGTTTTTATTTTTTTATTGTGTCAGCACAGTTTGGAAATTCACCACGGACCGAAGGATTTGTTTTTTAAAAGTAAGTTTAGCAACTTAGCTGATGAAATTTATGCTGC